TGTGCACTGAGGAACATCTCTATGCAGGCAGGTGTCAGCTGTTAAGTAAGACGCTTTCAGGCAAACTTCTCTCCACACTGATGAATGTTTATTTTAGAAATAAGAGGAGTTCTTTTGTATCGCTTTCATATGGTTTAACCACATAAAAATGACAATAATTTCATGTTTTTAGAACTAGTTTGGGAGGTCTTTGTGTAGAAGGGTGTTTACTTTTCCTGTGCAGTGTTCAGTTTTCTTGGCACTGCTTGAAGGGATTCTGTCAGGACTAAATCATGTATCTCTAGAAAATATTCTTTACTTATAACACCTAACAGCTTAGAATGTTTTGGTTTTTACCATATATACTGTGCATATGGGGACTGATCCAAAGCTGTTGGCTCCATAGCGCTTTGGCTCAAGACTATACATTTTTCAAGTTCTACCTACATCATTTACTTTTTCCAGACTAACTATGGGGGTGTGAGAGTGCTTTGTTCTGAAGGCTTAGGGATCTACTGGGGGAACAAGTCTAATTCTAGCAGCTTCTTCTGCCATGAGTATCTGCTTACTAGCTGGTGCCACTTTCTGGTCTGCCTAGCTAGCGGAATTATTATGTGGGCTCCAGTCCTTGTATCACCAAGAGGAACATTTCAAAACTGAGACAACAGTGCATAGTTCTCCCTGTTGTTACTCAGGCTACTGCCTAGAGGATCCTGTCAAGCTAGGAGTCCTGTTGTGCCAGGTAATAGATAACAACAGTGTAAGGAGATCATCCCTGTTGTAGGGCAACAACCTAAGCAGGCAACATTGACGAAGCTCAAGAGAAAAAAGTATTGTTACGATTTTGCAAATGTGACGCTGAGACACATGTGGGAGAAGAGTGTCATCCAGCTCAGCACTTGAGTCTTCCCATTGGACTCAAAGGGCGTATTTGCACACTCACAGGCTAGTCCATGTTTCAGCAGTTCTGGTCTCAGTCACCTCTGGAGTTCAGCGAAAAAACAAGAACAAGGTCCCGCTCGCTTGATCCTTCTGTTCTTCACCTGAACTGCTTGGGCACGATGTAACACTGATACGTTTTGTTCTGTCATGAGAAAGAAGGGAAGTTCATTTCTAATTAAAATTAAATGTATAGAGCTATTTAGAACTTCATGCTCATGTGTTATGTTATGTTTTTCTTTTCCTTTTAACATCTCGAAATTGATCACAAATATCCAGGCTATATTCTAGTTAAATATATGGGCCCTCACAAAACTTGAAACTCATTAAAGTATACCATGATAAAGTTTAATTTAGGGTTTGCAGGTAAGATTTTTGTCAACTATGTCAAGATAATTTCCTTATTAGAAATAGCATGGTTAACATTTATGAGAGCATCTCTACTGTTTTTAGACTTATACTAATGATATAGAATAATTGTGCTGTGGTACAAATCAAGATTTTCAGATTATTGCGCCTTATTTGGCAATTGGAGCTTTACAACTCTTCTCTTTCTTTTGTTCAAGGGAGCTGCAAATACTCACATTGTAAAACATACTGACCATGATTAATTGTGGAAACTGCTTATTTACCTGAAGATAAGCACTGTTTAGTCATTCCTGATTTATTTAATGAGAATATTCCAGAAAATTACAGTTTCTCATTGTCTCTTTAGAAATTAGAATTTTAATTCCTAAAATTAATAGTATATTACAGATTAGATTTCTGTTAGATTTCCTAACTTGTGTTTTTCTGTTCATAAAATCTGATTGTTACTAATTCACTTTGCTAGTGTATTGTTCATGGAAGTGCAAGAAATTTAGTTCTCTGGTTTATCAGGTTTTTCATGAATTTATGTCCAGTTTTTAGACAACACCTTCAACACTGTGTATAAGAAAATCTAAAGGAAAATCATTGTCTTAAGCAGCCAGATCAGGTTCACTACTTAGTTTGCCTGTCTTCATGTGCATTGTGTGTCTCTGTATTCTTCCCAACTCTAAAATAACTACTAAGGCATCACAACAGTCTGCTGGAAGCAGGATATTGTTGATTCGGAAAGTGAAAAGTCTCTGTGAACAGTGTTGTATTTTGAGTTGGTGGTAATACTTGAAATGAGCTGTGTTTTGGGGCTATCCTCTGCTCCCTGTACATTTCCTTTAGCTTGTTCCTATAACTACCCGTATTCACCTTTTCTAGTATAGAATTTTTTTCCTACTTGAATTTTAATTCTGGTATTGTCAGGTACATGCAGGACATGACGGCATTATTCTTTTTTGTATGCCATATGCATTGGAAGAATCAGCTCAGTATGGCCAAAACACCCAAAAGAAAAAAGAGACAGAGGAATGCACAGATGAGGACCATATGAAATGAGACAGGCATTATTTCATTTAGCATTGTGTAACACACTACAGTAAGGGTAAAACTGTGTTACTGCAGAAAAACAGTATTTGAAAAAAAAAAAAAAAAAAAAAAAAGGATTAATATCTCCAGCAGTTCAAGTAGTTTAAAAACTAAATGGTAAATTTAGTAAGGTAATATTAGTTCAAAGTGTCGTAAGCACCTTTAGCTGTTAAAAAATAATTCTACAGCCCTGTGATTCTATTCTATAAGATTATTACTGATTTTCTCTGTGATTTTTAGGACTTCAAAATTCTGCCAATCATACATATCATTTATGATTTTGGTTACTTGCACATCCCTATCCACTTTGCATGTCTCTCCTCTGCTCTACATTCTTTATTTTGTATCTATGAAAGCCCATAAAAGTCACTGGGGACTATGAAAGTACAAGGGTAAGAGAGAATTTGACCTCATATTTCCTGAGCATCTCTAAGAAATCTCCTGTTTAGAGCAGCTGGAAAAAATTGTGAACAAAACGATATTATGGGTAATACAACAGATGCAACCTGCAATAGAAATTTCAAACACTGGAAAAAAATCCTTTCTCTTTACTGAAACACAGCATTTCTTTCTGGAAGAAGAAACAGACACCCCATTCTGCAGAAGCCAAGATGTCCAAAGAGTTTATGTGGCCTGCTAGCCACTGAGATGTGAAATGCCAACAGAAACATTGTGCACTTCTACCAATAACAAACAATGAGTTGCTGAAGGCAATAGCTATTACCATCACTTAAATAAAAGAAAATCTGGCAACTAACCATGTATCAAAATAGATTCTGAAATAAGAAAATGCTTTCTTTTCAGCACCTACTCAAATAACTTATTCTAGATTGTGCCAAAACTGAAGGGTAGCTGATATCCACAATTCTGACTGACAATTTTATAGGAAAATCTGGGAAGACCTCTTCCCCAAGATCATTCGTATGGAGAACGTACTCCAGATGAGCTTAACTGGCTGCCAGGTATCACTCCAATTCCACTGCTTAAATAGCTCTTGGTACACGTGTCAGGCTTTAGTGGCCTTCACTGTGTTACAACCTGGAAAGTGATCATGGCAACTTCTAACTCAGTATGCAAGATGTGTTCATTGTTAAAGGGTTAAACAAATTTTTGTCATTGCTGGTAGCAGAACCAAGGCTGTTGTCCAAGAGTGAACTGTAGAGTCGTTTAGTGCTTACAGTGACAGTCAGGACATATCCTGTCCTGTTATAAAACGAGAGAATGTCATCAACAAATGGAGCACAGAAAAGGAGCAATGTGACTTTTTGGTCTGTCAGCATTATCATCTAGGGAGTAAAAAAATATGAGAGGAACGGAACAAATGCTCAAAAGAACTTTGTAAAATAAATAGAGAAGTTGGAATTGTTCTGTGACTGTAGGATGCCTTGAATGATTATTTCTATAATGTGTTTACTAACATGATGCATTTTAAATGTGCTGAGCAGTTACCATGGGCTGCTGATCTCAGACTGTCAGACCGTCTTTCCTCTGCTTCTTTCAAAAATTCTGCTTCGTGCTGCTGACATGTTTCATTACTTTCCTTCATTGTGTGCCTCCATCCTGCTTGGAGCCTGAGGGCATCTTTCTTCATAATCAGTCTCTTTAGTTTCTGCCTGACTTCGCTTTCTTCAAGGGCAAGTTCTCCAAGACTTCCTTGTCCTAAATGTTTAATTTACACCCCCAGCAATCAGTTTCAACAACCTCATGCAGGAAAGGAAGCTATTCTTCAGCATCAGAAAAAGTGTTAATATCTGGCTCTCGTACTTTCATTATGGATGTAAGAGTATGTCCACGTCAGTATAGTGTTTTGCTTGAAGTGGATAGGGAGTTTGTTTTCTTATATTATCATTCTGAATATAGGACTTTTTTGTGTAGACATTTCTGCATATCTCTGAAGTGCCTTCTAGTAGAGTAGAAGAGTGGAAGACAATATTTTAAGTTATTTTCTGCATATGGCTGACAAAATTAGTTGTATTCAGCACAGCTCAGACAGCATAAATCTGGTTTTAATGTGATGAACACTGAAATTCAGTCACCAACAATCATGTTGGTGTAGGATTTACATAGCTGAGAAGGACTGGCTCAGTGACAGGTGTTCACCCAAGGAGTTGAAGAGGATCTCCCTGCTGTTCCGTTGCATCTCTCAAGGCCTTAGTACTCCCTACCTTCACAACAAAGAAAAGTTGGTCAGGAACACTACAACTAGACCTTCTGGAAGAAATTCCTGCTCAGCATTTCACTGATACATTCCTTTGATGGACTTTGTTAATATCTAAATTTTTTTTGTTAAAGACAGAAGAAAAAAAAACCCAGTTAATTAAATCCATTCAGCCTTGAAATGCATTGTCCAGGCTCCTGCACACCAAAAACTTTTAATTAAGGACATAAAACTATTCCTATGATGTTGCAGGAGTCCCAAAGACTTGAAGTACAAGAGCTTTTGACAAGAACTGAAAATGCAGAGCAACAGTAAATATTCTTCTTAGCCTCATCCTGCAGCTACAGGAAGTGTGACAGTGATCAGAGAAGAGAATTCCATTTCATTTACTGCTTCTTCACTCCATCTGTCATTATTAAAAGAGAAAAATTAAGATGACTTTATTCTATGCTTAAGATTTTCTCTCCTAACCCATTCACAGGTGGGAGATTGGGAAATGGAGCACCTGCAGTCTTACCTGTGGGGTTGGATTGCAGACACGAGATGTCTTCTGTTCTCATCTACTATCAAGAGAGACTAACAAGACTGTGATTTTGGCAGATGAATTGTGCTATAAACCTAAGCCATCCCCTGTGCAAGCCTGTAATCGCTTTGACTGTCCACCCTCCTGGTATCCTACTGAATGGCAAGAGGTAAGAAAGTACGTGTAATCTCATTTTACAACTGGAGTTAAAAGTAGTCATTACGTGCTTTCTCAATGCATCATTTTGCTCCAGCCCATCAAGAGGATTCAATAATCATTCTGATGAGCCATTAAAAACTGAAGAAGTATGCCTTTTTGCTCTTCTAAAAAATGCATTTATGTTTTCAGAGGTAAATAATGACTGTAGCATTATTTATTATAATGCAAAGTTACTGGAAACATTTAATAGCTGGCTTTAGATTCCAGACAAAAATATCTGCAATATCATAGTCAGTTGCAGTAAGTGGATTTGGATTAGCAATGTCCAGGTTTCTAGACATACAAAAGATCAAGGAGGAGAGAATTTTTAAAGTGTGTTGGGTATTCCGTATATTCTCAAATAATAGTTTAGTTTAGGACAAGACCCACTCCTCATCCTTCAGAGTCGCAAGCGAGTGCTAGAAACTTCACTTTGGGAGATGGATGCCCTATTACACTAACACTGAAAAATGCTATCTACACAATAGATCTGTAGAAGGCTTTCCATCTTTGGAAAGCAACATGAAATTAGTATATTTGCTGCCATCTGGTTGCAAATGAAAACACTTCTGCAATTCAAAAGACTTAAAGATGCTTCTGTTGGATATAATACTGCACAGGAAGAAAGGATCCTGCCCTGTTGTCAAGAGTAAAGGAAAAATTTGCTGTGTGGTGCAGGTGCAAGCAAAAAACCTGTTTAAATCTTCACTTCTGCTGCGTACAAGTGTTCGTTGCATCCTATGAGAAAACTATGAACACTTGGCATGGTGCTTACATATGTCTACCCAGTCTCCATCTATAAAATCCGCACTTTACATAATAGCCAGGAAGATGTTAATGTACTCAGCTGAGGAAGCTGATAAGTCTGTGAAGCTGTACTTCACGGGAGAGATCTGGGTTTGGGCAGCCATCCCAGTAACAAAAATTTATGCCAGCCTGATGTTCTGTCAAAGCTAGATAACTAGCCTATGACATTAGTTCTATGTTTAAAACAGTTTGGTGATATTTTATGCTTTAATTTGCCTACATTCACATACACGTATTTGCTTAGCTGCACTTTTGAATATTTCTAGACTATGGTCATGCATAAATGCTATATTTGTACATAGCAAATAGTGTTTTACTAGTACGTACCATAATAAAGTCAAGCGTATCAACATTAGAATATGCTAGAAGGAGTGCTTACGCATATTAAAATCTTATAATTTGCCACAGTCCTCACAGAAAACAATTTTCTGTAAGTTTATTTGAACAGTCAGAAGAGACATACATTATAGCATGCTGAAAAATTGACTTTCTGTGAGTCTAGGCCACCCTAGAATGGTACTGAAATAGTTTCCGCTAAAATAATTTCCAAACAGAATTTTTTCAAGATTTGAACATCTTCCTCAACAGTGTGAACACTCGTATTCCTGCCTGTCTAAAGTAATGCTTTAGCCATTTTTATATCTGCTCAGGAGCTCTCAAATACGCTGTCTTTTTAAAATCTGTAGCAGATCTTAAGGAGAAGGGAGCTCAATTAACAAGAGTATTAATGAGGAATTAAATCAACCTGCTCAGTTCACACCTTTTGTGTTAGCTGCTGCCTTCTCTGGGCTGGGTGGAGAGAGAGAACCTGTGTTACAATTCATTGCTGCAGCTTATCAATGGTCATGTTTTAGCTCTTCTGTGCTTACTTCCACAGGCTTTGCAGTCTGGCCAGCTGTGAACATAGTTCCTCACTACATGGGCACTGACTATTTTCTGTGCTTACCTTTCATGAGGATAAAACAGAGCAAAAAATGTACTTCTCTACCTACTGTCTTATGCCTCTGTTTAGACGAGTACAGTGCAAGAAAATAAGGCCTAATCAATCAAAATTAATTACCATTCTCTCATAAGTTAGAGACATATGTCTTCCTTCTTTGCACCACTAACCTCTCTACAGTTACAAGCCATGCCTCACAGTTCAGTCTCATGCAGTTTTCCCACGGCTGACCTCCATGTGAAAACCTGTACCATCAGGCCACTATGTTGTACTTAGGAATTATTAGAGCTATTGACTCCTGGGATGTGGAGAGAAAAGACCGTCTGGACAGGATGTGAGTGACTGAGATTTCTCCTGGAGGTGAGCTCCAGCCATGCAGAAGAGCTGCCATGGAGCCCCCCAGCAGAAGAAATTCTGCAAGAGGATTTCTTTCTTTGTATTAAGGGACTCACAACACCTCCTCTCTCCCCAAATCCCTGAGAGCATTCCCCACATATGGGGAAACAGAGGGCCCTGTGGGAAGGTGCCTTCCTCACCCTAGGGAAGGTCCTTTAAATCTTCACTGACAGTAGAGGGTAACATCTGTTCTCCACACAGCCTGGTTTGAAGCCATTTCTTTGGTCTCCTCTGTCCAGTTTGTTGTTTTCAAAGCATTCTCTCACAATAGTTTCAAGCAAACAAAACAGAAGATTTAAACTGCAATGAGCAATGTTTTCTTTTCTAAGGCCTTTCATGCTTCTTAAGGAGGGGTTGTCTGAATTAAATGCCATTAGAAGCCCCAGCAGATAAACATACGATATTTATCAGTGTTGTAACATTTCAAGTGATTTTTTAAATATCTCCTTACAGATTCAAGGCTATTTATTTTTAAATAGTTCTGTTTCTTATCTAAACCCATTAGGATGTTCATCTTGTTTTCAGTAGTGTGCTTCTGGAGGAAAGTGGATGTGAGCTTTCATTTTTACAAGGCCCTATAAATATCTACTCTACAGACCTCAAATGGGAGACATCCATTTGTGAATCTTCGTCCTCCTTTGGTTTGCTATTGAATAAGTGCCATAGTCTCCAGCACAGCATTCTTTGTTAGCTGCTCAGTGCTATCCTTGCTTGAAAGACAATTAGAACAATGACTTGAAAACAGAGTCAACATGGGAAAACTGGTAATATTTTCAGATATTTTCCTAGCTATTTTTAATCCATATTGTAAAAAGCCTTTTCTAAATCTTCAGGTGTCAGGCCTTAGAAAGCAACTGAAAGACCTGCTGAGAGAAAAATGTTTACTCCGTTTGCAGATGCTTTATCTTACTGTAGAGTCCTAGTGCAGAATTCATTTTTAAAAGTAAGGCCAAAACTTGTACTGCTGTAGTCCCACCATCTTGAGCAGAGGGCAGTGCAAAATTAAACCACGTGGGAGAGCTGAGAAGTAGGACAACCCGTTCCTCAACTGTTCATGTAAGCAGGACTGACCATAAAATGACATAACTCCAAACGTTCAGCTACTGCCCCAAACCATGCTGAGCGACAGTTGCCTAGCCCGTTGTTTTTCATTAATAACTGCCTTTTTGCCCCAAGTTTGAGAAGTGACCAGCTTCCCTGCCTCCCACACAACATAAATAATGTTTGCCTGAATTCTGTGAATTGTATGCATGTGAGTAGTTGCTCATAGGCAGGTGCTGAGGTAGAGAGATGTCCCTCTTTTCCTCTCTGCTTTCAACAGTGAACATCAAATTATCACATCTGTGACTGCTGCGAGAGAGGCTAAGGCCACTGTTCTACCAGCAGTTTAGCATGACATATGCCACCACTTCTACCAAAGGAGAAAGAAGCTGCTTAAGCGATCTCTTTCTCGCCCTTACAGCACCAGCTGCCTTATGTCTCCAGAAGTGCCGTGCAATCACACAGTGGTCCTGGTTAAAGCTAGCCAGAAATATAATTAGCTTTAGCCTAGTTTAATTCTCAACTCTTGTTCGCTATGCAGTCATACAAATGCTTATGCCAGCATATGGAAAAGGCAGCACAAACCCAAGAATGACTGGCTGGCAGGACCGGGTGTATACGTTGTCTTCTTTGGTGTCAGCCTTGCCTCATGTTTGCTTGAGTTAACTGTTGAACCAGGCTTAATCAGGAGGCAATGTGGGGTGATGCCACTCTGGAAGTTGGTACCGTGGCAGTTCACCTGTAAAGAAATGTCAGGGGATATTTGGCTTAGCTCTGCTCAGAAGCTGTGGGGAGCTGAAATATCAGGAGACATAGGTCAAACAACCATGCTTTACCTATTTGTGTGGATGAGGTGAAATCACCCTGTGAAACAAGCACGTTTCTCTGTTGAAATGGTGCTGTAAGATCTTTTGGAACATCAGAGATAGCACCTTATTCAGATGGGATATGTGTGAATGAGGATCCTCTAAAAACTACTGTTTCATATTGCTTGTAAATACAAGCAGATGTTGCTGTCACAAATTACCCTTTTTCTTGGAAAAACGTGAGGCTGGAAGCTTCCACTAGAGAAAAATCAGCAAAGACCCTGGGGTAGTGAAGGCTGCAGAGGTGAAATACAGGTACAGGCACTGATCCCATGCAGTAATCCAGTCTGTCCTAGAAGAGCATTCCTGTGGACAAGAAGGAATCTTGTCTCTGCATTTGGATCTCTCTGGCACTTAGCAAGAAAGTTGGATGTGGGGCAGCGAGTTACTCTTCACGGAACAAAGCTATGTAAGTGGCTGAAGGGCAAGAAGCAAGAAAAGTGATTTTTTGTCTCATTCTTTTATCTGGTAGTGATGGAAGGGCAGGGAGACTTCCTGGGATTTGATTGACTGACAGAAGGAACAAGCTTTTTTATTCATATGATGTCTAAACTATTTTGCCTTTGATATACGATGACAGTCCTTTGGTAATCTTGAAATAATACTTTAAATCATATTTTTCTTGATTTAGTCTCTCCTCATAAATCAATTCTCCTCAAATGAAAGGTTGAGGAATGTTTTCTTTTGTTGAAAACTGAAGTATTGTTTTACTTGCTTAATTTTTTGGAATCCTTTGAGCTTTGTAGTATTCTAAGTAGGACAAAAGATATTTTTGCTCGTTAGAGAGCAAACCAAACTGAATATAAGTGTCTTTCTGCACTTCTTTTCTGTCTTTCAAGGAAAATGTATATCCTAAACAATCAGGCTAGCATTAAAATTTATGCAGTGGTTTCTCTCTGAGAAGAGATTTTTGTGACTCCAAGATGTTCTAAAATAGTCCCTTTTTAATCACTTAAGTATAAGTTTTAATACTTCATATGTTTTTTTGCTTCTCAGGCATAGATCCCATGTTGCAAGCTATAAGCAACTCGTGGTCACACTAGTGTAAGGCAAGCTCCCCCTTCTTATTCGCTAGGAAAGGGGAGAAAAAGACTTGAGCTGGCTGACTGAAGAACTGGAAGCCTGTTACCAGCCCTAGGAGAAAGATCCTCAGGAAAAAGGGCTGAGCAATGAATTTACAAAAAGGTTCAGGAAAGCTATTAAATCTGCTTGTTCAAAATTTCCTGCCCTGCTTTGTAGAAAATAGATACAGAGAGGGATATTTACATTAAAGAGAGAGGGGAGGTGGGTTCTCTGAATGTTAATCATCCCAATTTACTCTGACTCAAATAAAATTTCCTCCTTACCTTTTGGAAACAGTACACACTGCTGTCATGACAGGCATAAATACAAAAGGGCTCTATGGATATTTAATGGTTTATTATATCATCCTTATAAACCAGTTACTGAGACTAACAGCAGATTGCAGCTGCTATACAGCTTTCTCAGCAATTAAAAATCAGAGAAGTGCTATAATGCAAGAAGTCTTCAAGGACAGGAATTCTGGGCTGGATGGTTAAGTTTTGAGCTGCACTAGTTATAGTCCTCATGTAGGTTAGAAACAAGAAATGAGAAAATTACAGAAGGAAGAAAAAGCAAAGTGATAAACTGGGGGAAATTTTATTTATCACACTCTCAAGTTTCCATTTGGTTTTCTTGTTACTACAAGCCTTTTTTTAACCAGCTAGAGTTGAATATTTAATTCAAGCTAATTATTTAGTTCATATCTTCTGTTATCTATTATGTATAATCAAATCCTGGAAATGAAGGTCTTGAATCATCTGTTGCTGGAGAAGAATTTTTCACTCTCTCTGACACTGTCAGTAGCACAGTCAGAGCTCAGGCAGAGACATTACGATGTAGAATCTCCACATTATGTGCAAGTGTCTCATTTTCCAGTTGTTGGTTACAGGAAAGAACAGCTTTCCCACCTCCGTACTGAAATTCTGACCCATTGTTTCCATGTCTTTTGTACAAACACCTGAAAACAAAACATTTCAGAAATATTGAAGCAGTTTTTCCTAAATATTAGCAAAATAAGCTGCTTCCACTTCCCAAAATATTTTTGACATTTTTAAAAGACATCTGTTTTGACATCTCTGAATTATTTTTTTATATATATTTTCTATTTGGCCAAAACTGAGTGTTGATTTCTACTCAAATTCAGAAGTAATTTTTGCTGCAAATTACCATGATACAAGTGTGATGTGAGGTGTCTGACTCTCATCTCTCACAGTGTTCACAGACATGTGGCAGTGGTGTCCAGAAGCGAGACACACTTTGTAAGCAGCGCCTGGCAGATGGAAGCCTGTTAGAGTTGCCAGAAACCTTCTGCTCCATGCCAAGGCCAGTTGCCCAACAAGAATGCAAAAATGAGGATTGTCCCAATGAGTGGCTTCTCTCTGACTGGACACAGGTATGCTATTTGTATGCATAAGTATTGTGCTGTCTTGGTGATGAAGTTCCACAGTCACTTGGGATAGAGGAGCCAAATGAGCTCAAACTGTACAAAGCATGTTATGCCCAGTTTTGCCCTGTAATCTGTCCTTATCATCCTGGTAGGTGATGTGATCACTAGCTCAATGTTCATTTTTGGAGACTGCCTCCACAGGTGTGTTTTAGCCATTCAGCTAAATTATTAAAGACCTCTCTTCTGGCATAAGCACAAGCCATGCTCAATAAATCCCTGCCACCGCCCATGCCTATGTTTATGTTCAACCAAGGCATCAACAAAGAGCAATCTTTACTCCCCCAAACTAAATGCTTTTTCTTCCCAAAGTCTGGCTGTTCAGACGTCAATAACCTTTTCCTCTTGGGGCCACTCCAACCTTTCCCTATGATACAGAGAAGAGAAGGGAGTGATTCCTGCAGTCTGCTATAGGCACATAATTACAGACACCAAGCCTCTTTCATTCTAGGACACTGCTTTTGTGATGTTAGCTAGCTACTTCCTTCTGTCAATTTAGGGATGGCAAAAAACCTCACTCTACTGAAGGCTCTTCCACTTCCCCATGCTCCCTTTCTGACCCCATATAGCTTAAGAAAAATTCCCTTTATGTTTATGACAGTATAACGGAAAATAGAATTTAACTTTTTAACACCAGTAAACATGAAAATTATTCCCCATCTTGCAATGTCTGCCACCGCTCTCCGTGGAAAGAGGTGGAAATTCTCTTAATTGTGAAAGAAACACTGGTCATCTAGTGGAGTTGTCCCACTTGAACCCTTCATATGTTGATCTATCTTGACACTTCACACAGCTAAGTGGATGTCCTCGTGAAGTCTGCTGCTAGGAGACACATAGCTGTTCTGGCAGTGAAGATGGTAATTCCATTCATAGTCTATCCTCCTTCACAAGGAGTTGCTACATGGTTTATATTGACATCCATACAACTCACATTTCTGCGTATTGGTACTTATAAAATCAAATCTGACTTCACTCTCTCCTCCCCATTTCACTTGAAGGATGCCATGTTTTAGCTCTTCTTACCCTTAGTGGGTTTTCTCCCTCTTACTTCATCTCCAATTCCCATTACCGCGTGTCCACCTGCATGTAATGGAAATGCATGTGTATCTGTGCTACCAACTTTACAGCACTCAGCCCACTTTCCAGCACCTTTCCAGACTGCTGCCTGGATCCCCGTGCAATGCACTGCCTGTATTATCACATTCTGTGATGCTCTATACGTAAATATGAGATAAAATATACATGCTGAATTCCATTAACAATGCTCACCTGTGCATCAAGCATGGTAGTCCGATATCAGAAGGTTTATACTCTTTTGTGTAAGCCCTGTGTGGTAACTACCAGGCTGAGATAACTCACTGGTATCTGAAACACTTATCCTCTTATTATTTCCAATAGATCTGCAACAGTAAAGTTCAAAGATTAAGTTTAGGCCAGATTTTAGCAGAACAGGATATATCTGTGAAGTGCAAAACAATCTGGTCTGCTCTTGACTATGAGCAGGAGTTTTTCCAGCCGGCAGACACAGACATATAGAAACAAAGTGCAAAGACAAGCTTTATACTGTAGCACAGTACCATTAAAATAAGGGACACCATGTGAGAGAAAAAAGTGCTAAGGGAGAGTGGGAAGATTCAGTGTCCCAAAGGACAGAAAATACCTGATATTTCATGTCCCTATTGTGCCTGCTGTGTTTGTAACTGAATGGCCAGGTGCTGCTCTGCGTTATTCCACTGCGACATTTTGAAAGCTGTAACTTATCTTACTGTGGTATGAGTATGCAATGTGGTAATGGGAGGTGAAGGGGTGTGTGTGACAGGGAACGCTCTTTTGCATTTAATAGACTTTGTTCCTAATGTTTTTTGTTGTGTTCCTAGTGTTCAGTGAGCTGTGGAGAGGGCACCCAGAGTCGAAATGCCATTTGCAGAAAGATGCTGAAAACTGGGGGTTTTGTCATCATCAATTCCTCACTGTGCACACCTTTGCCATTCTCATCCTTGATCAGGCCCTGTGTGCTAGGCATCTGTGCAAGTAAGTGGAAAGGATGCTTGAGAATATCTGAGGAAAGCAGACATCAATGTCCATCACTAAGAAATCCATACTCTCACCTGCTTCACAACCTTCTCTTGCACTAGGGTTACTTGGTCTTGCAGAGCAGCTGTCTGTGAATAAGCATGCTTTGTTCAGCAATAAGGCAAGTCAGTGGACAGGAGCTATAAATTTTACTGTTGGAGCTGGGTCTGAGCCAACGCAATGGAAGGGAGCTACTAGTTTCTGGAAGTACTGGTTCAAAATTCTGACCCAAATCTAGATCTAAATTTCACTACTGGAATGTAGAGGCTCAAAGATACAGCACAGCAGCCTGAGGGCAGGTGCAAATAAACTCTCTGCTAGAACACCTGCAAGGAAAATGATTGGTGAGGGATTTTGTGGAAGATAATTTAAAAACATATTATTTCATTATGTCACAGTACCCTCTATGACCTGGGATTTCTAATGAAACAGGCAACACAAGTTAGATGTGTTTCATGTTGGTATTTCATGCATTGGTTGTTGCCCTTCACAAAAGCAGTAGTCTCCCTGTATGCTCTTCCACAGCTTGCAGTGAGCCAACTGGATATGAGAAAGTTCAAAAGACAGCCTAGCTTCAGCTTAAAGCTGACTACGAACTCTGAAACTGCTAAATATTGGATAAGTCAGGGAAAAAAAGATCTGACAATCAGAACCAAAGCTGGGATGAAATTTTAGATGATATTTACTATTAATATACTTATGATGTTTTATTTAGTTTTTCATAACGAAGACCTCTGTCATAGAGATCTGGAAACTGGAAGGTCACACTGAACTCCTTTAACAGTACACTTTAATTTCACTTAGCACTGAAGAACTTTAATAGTACTTACTGTCTTTTTAAGCCTAGTCCAGACAGTTTTGTTCTGTTCAGTGTTACCCTCTGAGGTAGCAGCACTTTCACTCTTCCTTACCACTGTGAGCTGCAAGATCATGCTGCCTTTGAGGGTTTGGACAGTAAACAGTTGTCTTTTCAATATTAAGCAACAATCTTCGTTTAAATACTTTAACAACAAGAACTACATTTCCACTCAAGTTTTCTCCCTCCCATAAAGTTTTTGTCCCTGGCTCTTTGGTTTCTGCATGTATTCTGGGTGGGACTACTTCCGCATTCCTAAAGTTGCCTTGTTATTCTTCTTATTTTAATTGCTTCAACTCAACATTGAGCAGCTGGTGGCCAGTTTCTCCCATTACTGTCTTATGGTACAAATGCTGCCAGCACCAAAGTAAACTGCTTGTTTTTTCATGTTATCACATACTAATAGTATTAATAATATTCTAGGGCACAACAGGCCAGCTAATAAGCAAAGCCCCCATATTATGGCCATAAAGAAAGTTTACATCCAGACAAGGAAGCAGAAAAAGCTACACTTTACCGTGGGTGGGTATGCCTACCTGCTGCCCAAAACCTCTGTTATTCTCCGATGCCCCACAAGGAGGTTCTGGAAATCAATGATCACTTGGGGGAAGGATGACAAGAGACTTGTCAGCTCAGCTCATATCACCATTGCACCTTATGGGTACATGAAAATCCATCATTTGAAGCCTTCAGACACTGGAACATACACCTGTACAGCAGGGCCAGCCCAGGAGCATTTTGTAATTAAACTAATTGGAAGCAACAAGAAGATCATTGCTGGGCAGCCAACTGGTATTAGGGAGGAAGAGGCTGTGAGAAAGGCCAGCTTAAATGAAGCCTTGCGAACAGAAGAGAAACACATCAGTGGGATTATCTTCAATGGGAGCAAGGCTGAAAAGCGAGGCCACCTTGCTGACTCCAGCAGGTGGTATGACCATATTGTCTCAAGGCTGCTACAGCACAGAGGCTGGCCAGGGGAAAATCTGGGGTCCTGGGAAGCCCAGGAGTCCACAGAGAGAAACACATCCTCAGAGGAGGACCAGAGCTGGGAGTATAGCCTGCCTTTTTCTATGGTCACAGAGCAGAAACGCTTGGATGATATTATAAGGAATTTGTCTCAACAGCCTGAGGAGCTTAAAGAGGTCTACACTGAGCAGCTCGTTGTGCAGCTTGCTCACGAGGTTTTCAAGAGCCATTTGGAGAACCAGGAATCTGTCCTTAAAGCATCAAAGCAAAGACTAGCTTCAACCTCAGCGGAGTACCCTCTCCACAGACATGTTTCTGGATTTACCAGCTCCTTGAGGACATCATCTGCTGAAGCATTTCTTCCCACCTCTGTAGACCTAGAAAATGGCTTGCGCAGACCTCATCAAAAGCCTGCCATCCTCCGGAAGATTTCAGCAGCACAACAGCTTTCTGCTTCAGAAGTTGTTACCCACCTGGGACAGACAGTGGTCCTAGCCAGTGGCACACTGAGCGTGCTGCTTCATTGCGAAGCGGTGGGAAACCCAAAGCCCACTATCGCCTGGGCTAAGAATGGAGAAGAGGTGAAATACAATGATAGGTAAAACATATTGTTTAACTTTTAAGAAAATAATTGATATTTTGACTCTTCAGTTGCCATGTTTTACTGCCTGTCAGTCCCATGGACAAAACCATATTTTGCTGTAGTCTGGTTTCATAGCAGAAAGAAGGGCTAACACATGTGAAGTGGTAAATAGGGCACTGTAAATCTTCAGCAAGGTCTGGATGCTGAGTCAGTCTGGTGTGGCAAACAGGAGCTTTACTTCTGTTTAAATAAGCAAAAAGAAGGGTTTGTAAAGTACTAAAGAAGGTAAGTGCTTAATGTAGTAAACGGAGCATTCCACATCTGCAGGCTGGCAGCCTTATTGCACTTTCCCATCTGAAGGTGGAGGTTTCTGCTATAAAGATTGGTTTTGAGATATGAAAACTGATTATTGATCATTACTATTACTCTTACCCACTGTTGGAGATATGAATTGCATTGGCAGCCAGTCACAAGCGGTGTCCTCCGGGGCTCAGCATTGGGGCCAGTCTTGTCTAATATCTTTATCAATGATCTGGATGACAGGATTGAGTGCTCCCTCAGTAAGTTTGCAGATGACACCAAATTGGGTGGGAGTGTTGATCTGCTCAAGGGTAGCAAGGCTTTGCAGAGGGGTCTGGACAGGCTCGATCAATGGGCTGAGGCCAATTGTATGAGGTTCAACAAGGCCAAGTGCTGGGTCCTGCACTTGGGTCACAACAACCCCAGGCACCACTACAGGCTTGGGGATGAGTGGCTGGAAAGCTGTGTGGCAGAAAAGGACCTGGGGGTGCTGGTCGACAGCCAGCCGAACATGAGCCAGCAGTGTGCCCAGGTGGCCAAGAAGGCCAACAGCATCCTGGCCTGTATCACAAATAGTGTGAGCAGCAGGAGCAGGGAAGCGATTGTCCCCCTGTGCTCGGTGCTGGTGAGGCCGCACCTCAAATGCTGTGTTCAGCTTTGGGCCCCTCACTGCAAGAAATACATTGAGTTGCAGGAGTGTGTCCAGAGAAGGGCAACGAAGCTGGTGAGTGGCCTGCAGAACAAGGAGGAGCGGCTGAGGGAACTGGGGTTTAGTCTGGAGAGGAGGAGGCTGAGGGGGGAGACCTTATCGCTCTCTACAACTACCCAAAAGGAGGCTGTAGTGAGGTGGGTGTTGGTCTCTTCTCCCAAGGAACAAGCGATAGGACAAGAGGATATGGCCTCACGTTGCACCAGGAGAAGTTTAGACTGGACATTAGGAAAAATTTCTTTACTGAAAGAATGGTCAAACATTGGAACAGGCTGCCCAGGGAAATGGCAGAGTCACCATCCCTGGAGTTATTTAAAAGACTCAAACGAGGCACTTAGTGACATGGTTTAGTGGTAGACTCGGCAGTGTTAGGTTAATGGTTGGTCTTGATGATCTTAAAGGTCTTTTCCAACCTAAATTATTCTATGATTCTGTGATTCTCACAGGGTCCAGCAGGATCTGTCTGATATGGTTGTGGTAGCAGAAGATGGAGGAAGTGAGGCTTCTGCCTTCCACATATCTATCTGTGTGTAAAACTACCCCAGGATAAACCTCAGGGGGCATTGCAATCATCATTCCCTGTGTATGTTCTGATAGAGTCTGGAAACTGTGGAACCATACTTCATGGCTATTTGCAGCTATGCTGTCATATCCACATTAGTTTTCTGATGTGAGTTGGTGCATCCTTATCTGTTCAAACTCCAGTGTACTGATCCCAAGGTGTAGCCTGGGAACTTGAGTAGCAAAATGCTTTTGTCAGCATACCACAGACATGATGCTGGTTTTGCCTGAGGTAGTCTTTATGAGCCTATCGCTCCCTGTTACTTGTTTGTGTGCAAGAGCACACAAAGAGACTATTTTCAATGATATATGCTTAACTGTGTTGATAAAATTCATTTTTCTCATGTGTACACTTGAGATATTATATTTTGATTCTGTTCTGTGAGAAAGTGGTGTATAAAGGTAGGCAGAGAGTGTAAGAGGCAGTTATATTAAGAAACATGGTACAACAAAGCAGTCCAGAGATCTGCTAGCAGATCTTTCTGCACGAAATACTGACCTCAGTTAAGACATCTGAATTTAGTCATAAGGTCAGCATGGAAAATCAGGAAAGATGGAGTCACGGTAAAAATTAATTTCCAGTATGGTGCCTGTGGACCATCCAGCGAAGTCTTGATTTAGGCAAAATTGCTCCTTCTGCATAGTTATACAATTAGTTTATTAGCCCCTTTCTCGTTTTGGCAACTGAATCACTCCAAAGTAATTTTTTTCTCTAATGTACTGAATTTCCTGGGTTTTGTCTCCCTTTCTCTGTCTGAATGCTAGTAAGTACATTAGGTTTCACACAAAAAATGGTAACTTTTGCAGGGGGAGGGGACACTAAGAGCAAGAATGTATCTCTTGTGGAAATCAAATGCAGTCTTAATCAAGACTTGGGCCTGTAGTACCCCTTTATTTGGCAATATTCCTGTGAAAATATCTTCGTGGCCCCCCAAAAAGTTTCATATATAGATTTTCATTGCTGGTGGTTACATCCTGTTGGAATTATGACATTAAGGGATTTTTTTTCTCTACTTGAAGTGACTATGGTATGCTTGAAGGGAATGGAAGTTACATAAAGTCCATGTGTGGTTAATGCTGGACACCATACTCCTGAGAAAATTAGTTTATCTGACACCGTATAAGCAGTCATGATGTAGCAACAGGCAGATACATTTAGCTGACAATAAAACAGTCTTACAATTCCTGAAATTTTAGTTCGGATTTTTTTTTTTTTTTCCATTTTATAGTGCATTTCAACTCTTTTTTTCCATTCAGTTTGGCTAAAATAGCATTAAATGCTGTGTTGTATTTCTGAATTATCAGGCTAATATGTGTGCTCAAAATGTCTATCAGAGTTTATTTGCCAGTTAGTAGCACTATTCATTGACAATTCTTCTTTAAATGTTAAGGCAGTTTCCACTTTATGAAGTTCCTTTTGTACTCATCACTTATGGTTCCTCCATGGTGGTGGCTGGGGGAGGAAATGAGCAGTGCTGTGGGCTTCAGAGATACTCAACATCTGTAACTTTAGAGTTAATGGAAGTTTAGAAATCATGGTGCATAAAAAAATTGAGTTGTGGATGTTTTGCTGGGTTTCTAACAGCAGTATTCTGTTTTTGGCTCAGAATGCTCTTGCTGGCTGCCAATCAGCTGGGTAAACGAAAGCCACAGTTTAACCAATTTCACAGTGTACTGCTGTACGCTGCAAGGCCACCTGCATGCAGTGGTGATTGGTATACTTGAGCTGTCTTTCAGGTCTGCACCTTGTCGTCTTCATACTTTGCCAGCCACCGAATGGAGAAAAGAAACCAATTTTCCAGCCCACCTCTGTCTTAATGGGAATAGGAAAGTTAATATAGATGGACCTTCCTATACCAGTATCAAAAAGAGACACTCTTGGTGAGGAAGGTCAGAGAGTTGTGCTGAAGTCTGTCAGCTCATGCCATACTGAGTATACTTGAGATTCCTGGTTTGTATTGTGATTTTTGAAGTGTAGGATGCTGGTTTTAGTTTGAGTGATAGCTATCTATATTGTGTATTACCAAATACTGAGATAAAGGCACTCAATTTCCTATATTGTGGCCATGGATTTTATCTGGACCAGTGATGTAGCAACAAATTCCCTCTTTCCGTGAGCTGTTCCATCCACCTAAAAATATTTATGACTCCTTCTACACAGCTCCACTTGCAAAAATCAATTTCTTTAACTTTAGTCTAGGTACTGTAACAAAAAGATATAATACAGGCCCAAAAAAAAAGTGTTGGTTTTCAGTTACTCGACAGAATGAAAACATATGACACAAAAAGCTGAAGCAGTTGAAAATATCTGTGTGGTTCCAGTAAAAGATCCTTGACTTGAGTCTGCATGTTCAGCCTGAGTGCATACTCTCTCTGAGTGTCCATACTCTCTCCTAAGGTTAAAATGTCTGGTTAACACTACCATGCATTCAGAGCCTGCTAGTATCTGTACAAAAACCTGGAGATTTTTGTAAATGATGCAAAAGGTTTTGTTTCAAAGAAAATTCAGATTAACTTCCTTAGGAATCAACTTCAAAAGTGAAAAATCTTCGAGGGATTTAGGCATTTTTAATAAGCTTTCCAACTATGCTGTCCTGTTAATCACTGGGAACCCGTTGGTACTGGATAATTCAACTTTTCTAAAACAGAAATGTATTTTATAAATGGACATGAAGCAGAATGTAAACAATAGGTGATACAGAATCAGGTCTTTGCGAGGTGCCATCTGAATAGTCACTGATACAGGTCCTGTAAAATACATTTTTGTCTTGGAGACAATGCAGTGTGGAGCAACTGAGATGATACTGATTAAACATTAAGCTGTGTTATTTTAAGTCCATAAATGAGATTCTGAAGACATGCTGCTGACAGAAAGAATTGCTACAGATGGTATTTTTTTTCACCACTAACAAGCAATTCAATACCTAACAAAAATAGCAATCTATGAACAAATAGGGAATCCAGCCAAAATCATTCTATACAAAGAGGGATAATAAAAGATCTGCTTTCAAGAAAATGAGCTATGCCAAATTGTGACACACAAATGACATAAAGAATTATCAAAGAGGACATTAGTTTTGTTTCTAGGAAAGGACATTAAAACTTGAGTTGAAAACATGAGAAGATGGAGCTGCATTGGAGTTTATTCTTTTTTAAAGGCAGGCACCTACCTGGCCTATTTCTATTTCTAAAAATATGTGTGCTGGATCTGTGACTTAAACTGACAAAGAGAGATTTACATCAGCAGAGTTGGTTAACAAACAAATTATGATCCCTTGTGTTTTACAAGGTGCAGTATTGAGCAAGTTCTTTCCTCGGCCTGAAGGTGACAGACTTTTCTAAAAACATTTTTTAGGGGAGTGTGTCAGTTTCACATAGGACTGAGTGATCAGCTACATACTATATTTGCACACACGCAGGCAGAATACGCACAATCTTTAACTATTATATGCTAACATAATTTGGGACAAATTCTGAAACTCTTAATGAATTCTGTGTAGAGATTGAACCAGTCCAGTGTTAAACTAAAAAATTTACATGTGAGATACTGATGCATGCTAACACTAGTTTTGTAAGTACAGAAATTTGTTAGTTGCTGGCACTGTTAGCAGTGGCTAACTAGAAGTCTGCCCTGTTTATGACTAAGTGGCAAGAAAGAAAATATCCTTGAAAGCAGAAGTGGGGAGGGAATTCTTTCAACCATTGGCAGTTTTTGCTGTTCAAGTAAAGATGCAATATAAAAATTATTAATGTTTATTTTGCAAACGTGAATTTTTCTAGGCACTTGCAAAACTTGGTTGACAAAACGCAGGTTTCCTTTTATTACTAATTATTATTATTATTATTACTCAAAAAAGGTCAAAAAAAATTTTAACTTTGAATTTTTTTGTATAATAGATTTTGATGGGTGGTCCTAATCTGGTTTGTTTTAGAGATCTACCACCCACAGTGTCACGCAAGATCCAGTATCTGCTCCTTTTTGGTCCATGAGACAACAGTTTTCATTGGCGGGGTGGGAATGGAAAGAAACTCATCAATTCCAGCATCTGTGAGCAGACTTTTATGCATGTGTTTTACAGGCGTATCCCTCCCTCACTTTCACCCTTGTCACTGTCAATCACAGCCTCAACTAAGAGTCTACATACAACAGCTGCTGAAAGTTGCTGATGAGAAAAGTAATTTATGATTAGGTTTTATCAACAGTTTCAGCTGGAAAATTAAGAGAAAGGAACAATAGTCACAAAATACACTGTGCTGAAAATAAGAGTACATAAGCATCAACAAGAGCCCGTGGATGGAATTCTTGCTTAAACAGGTATACATCAGGACCTGATACAGTTACAGCACTGCAAAACCAGACTGCAAAAGCAGCAGTTCGTAAGAGTTCTAAGGCCACATTCATCCCGTTTAGCCATGGGCAGTACACTGAGATCACAGCAGGCTCCTCTTACTGGCAGAGGAAAGACAGTTGGTTCAGCCCAAGGAGGAGCTGAGTATTCCTCTCTGTCTTCACTATTAGGGGAGCAAAAAAAAAAACCTGCTGAGTTTGTACAAAGTGCATAGCAACCAAAGAATTTGGAGCCTGTTTCAGAACCTCTGTGGTTCGCTTCACTTCTTTCTGCCTAGTTTCAGCAGGTTGAATGATTTTTGCCTTGCAATAATTTGTCTTTTTCTTTACTGCTGCTACTCCTACTTTGTAGAACTGAGAGACAGGGAGGCTAGGTAACTCATTCAGTATCATACAGGAAATGACGGAGCAGAGGAGGAGGTTTTACAAACCATGGGTAGATGTCCTAAGTACTCAGACATCTTTCTATAGTAGACATATCAGCAGTAGAAGAACTGGGAATGAGATTAAAATTTAATTGAAGTAATCACAGGTCGCAGTCTCAATGTAAGACTTAAAATTTTGTAATATATTTTAAAGTATTATCTAAAGGCCTGAACTGTAAAAAAAAAAAAAAAAAATCTAAATCTGAAAATATCCCAGTAAAAGTATCATTGCTCACACGAGATAAGAAACCATTACATCTTTCTTTCTACTTTTCTACAGGATGCTACTTCAGCCTGATGACTCCTTGCAGATTCTAGCACCTGTGGAAGCTGATGTGGGTTTTTATGCTTGCAATGCATCCAATGCCCTGGGATCTGACTCTGTCTCCATTGCTGTCACTCTAGCAGGTAATAGTTCACTGTGGTTGCAGGATGGTCCCTGCCACCTGTATGATTCTGGACAGGTATTGTTTGTGGGGGAATAGATGGCTATGGATGCTGGATGGTCAAGGTGGGTCACAGAGGTACACTGGTGTAAACATAGGGTGCGAACTCTGGAAGACTCTGAGACATAGTCCAACTTTCAGACAGTTCACAAGACTTGTGGATTTCTGCAAGAGATCAGTGCTTTTTCTCACTTGCTGCATCTGACATGCTCTCAAGACAGTGCTCATCCTGGTTATTCACAGCCTGTATGGGCAGTGCAGTCTGAGCCTCCCAATTTGTATGCGACATCTTAAATCCATCCCTGATCGGGTCAAGTTTAACAGAGTGATTGAAGGATTTATTCAGAGGTATTTTAGGCAAGCCTGAAACATACCAGAGCTTAAGAGCTAGCCCCTTGCAGGATCAAGCCCTGTATCATAATCAATCCATTGTGGCACAAGCGTGGCTGACACTATTTCAATTGCTGGCAAATACAGATTCACAAAAAATTAACTTTTATGTTTATGTTTCTCTAGCAGAAGTTGAGTTCTAAAGCAGGCTAAATATCCTTTGTTAGTTTAGATTTCAGTTCTAAAGAGAACTCACCCAAATAAAAGCCGAGGGAAATGGGCGGTAATGCATGAATCCATCTTCTTCAGGGTTCATTGGTAGGCGATGTCAGAAGGCTCACAACCAAGTGAGGAAAGACAGAGCAGCAAATGTGAATGAGAAGCTGTTGAGTAAGATGAAAGGACAGAGACAGCTAAGGACTGTGACGAGGTAGGGAGGTCTTAGAGAAGGAGGATCCTATTTATCACAAAGGCAAAAGGAATCACATTAGGAATGCTAGAAAGCTTATTGATTTTTCAGACCTCTCCATTTCACTTGTCCAGAATGTGGAAGCATTTGAAGGCCTCCAATGTGTGGACAGTGACCATCAGCTGCCAATGTATCAATATATGATTAGAGGAAGGAATAGTGTTGAATAGCTTGAGTTTTTTACACCAAACACAGAGAAAATTTTAGGTAAGGTGGCCATAAAGAAAATCTAAGAATGCAGAAATGACCAGCAGTGAAACTCTGATGATCATTAAAACAACTGGAAAGAGACCTCATCTGTCCCTTAGAAGGAGAACAACTGAATCCCCCAGAGACGAAAAGGAAGATCTGCATCAGAGCTACAGATCACATGTGGGCAAAAACAAAGAGACTGGTCCTTTTTACACTACTGCAGATCAGGAATATCTTTGTGAAATTCCAGTCAGCAGGGCAGTAACCCTCTTGTGCTGCACAACCAAGAAGCTGAACATAAGGTTCAAAAATCACCAGTCGAAACTGCTATTCTGTCCATATTGCTCCAGTTAGTTTAAAAGCCATAGTCTTTGTACAATGTGTGTTGTGGAGACAATTTTGTGTGAAGCTATAGAAAAATAAATTGAGCATTAGGTGCACATGTGGCACAGGAAGGCTATTTGCTTTTTAATTATTATAATTAATTATCAAGGCTGTAGTTTGACCTTTTTAGATAAAACAATATTCATGCATCCTAGACTCAAGCTGAACTCTGTTTAGGAACTGGTATACATCCAAGGCAAAGAGCTGAACATCTTATAAAATGAGGCCATAAATATCAAATTGAGGTACTGAGCAGTTTTTGGAACAAAGCAACAAACCTTTTGGCATAATGGAAGTACTTTCTCCAAAAAAAAACTAGAAACCTGAGTCCATCTTTAGAGGAATCAGGAGTGGGCCTGAAAGGTTATTTCATTGAAGAATTTTCTGATCAGTTTAACACATGCATGGAAAAAAAGTCAGTGGAATATGCTTCCATTTTTCTCAATGGTTTGCTACTCATTTATGAGTTGAACTGCTAACAGATTTTTAATCTTTTGATGAAGTTGTGGAAACCAGGTAAGGGGAAAAAAAGGCTGATGTATAGCTGAAGAATTATTTTCTTTTCTTTAGACTTTGCCACCAAGCATCAAAACTTTTGCAGATACTTTAACAATAAAATGTAGTATTTTAGTTTGCTATTTTTAGGCATTAAAAGCACCAAGATAAAAATAAAATAATAAAAAACAAATCAAAAAAACCCAACATATATATATTTATTATTATTTTATAAAAGTAAAAACAAACAAAAAAACCCTGATATGACAGGAATTCCAAATGAAAGGCATCTTTTAAAGGCCCTGGAAATATAGCTATATGGAGCAATTAAGTTTTCAGGACTCTCCATGAGCTCAATGAAACCAAATTCTTTTTCTCACCTCCATCTTTTCTTCCCTGGTCACGTCCAGATTAACACACAAATGAAGCCAGTGGTAGACATTAGCCTAAAACTGCAGCTTCTGGAGGTAAATGATGATATCTGAACATGTTTTTTATCTGTACTCCATTTATTTAAAGCGGAAAAAAATGTGTTTATAGATTTTTGGATAAGGATGAGTTTGAAAATACAACACTGAGTCAAAAACACCCAAGTCCCATACCATTTGAACAACTGTTGACATATTCTGCCCCTCTTGCCAACATCCTGCCTGCAGAGCACTTTGGCTGAGACAAGGGACTGCCTTAACTCAGCTCTGTCAGCTCTGCTTCTTCACTTTCATATCTCAGAAGAGCTAAGCCTGAGTATCTCTGAACTGTTTTGTGTCATGTGGGCATGCCTTTCACTACCCCTACAAAAGGAGCTGCAGAAGGTTCCTCAAGCCCCTGAAGGATAATTCCATAGCTAATCCCACACAGACAGGCACAACAGCAGAGGAATACCTTGACCCACTTGCTTGTTGTCACCGATGTGGGAAGCACATTGAAAACAATTTGAAAAGTTTGTTGCAGGCAAAGCAGGTATCTTTGTTAGAGATAAAAAATATTAACGCATAGTACTGTTGCTATAGGCTTTAGATGAAACAAAACAGGTTATCTGACAGAAAGGAGTTTGTTTATGTCTGTCATCTTCTTATGCTAGCCATTATGAAAAAAATTCCTGGTTATGGGCCAGTCTTCCCAATCCCAGTGTTTCCACTGTAGCTTAAAGAATACATGATCGATGTGTAGAAACAGCTTGCATGTTGCTCTAAACTTCATGTACTATTAATGTGCCTGCAGCTGTCACTCAGGCCTCTTTTGCCTATGTTTTGCCTTTGGCAAAGGGTGGCATTTTGGTTGCAGTGCAGGCAAATATCTTGCTGCAGCTGCAATTGTACTGCTGTTTATTGATTCAGCTGGTTCTCGTGTGTGAACGTATGTCTTTAATGCTATTCTGCCTCTGCTCTAACTATACTTTTTCTTTTTCTGAGACAGTTTTTCCCATGGAATTTGGTGACACTGTAATATTATATAGAGCAAGTGGCCTCATAGTCCAGCATTTTTCCTTTATCCACTTGTCCTGTGTAGGTACTTCCACAGTGTCCTAGGCCATTTGTCCCATGTGATTCCAGTATGCTTGGTCTGATAAGCTGTGGTGCTTCTTTTATACAGGAAAGCCACTGATAAAGGCATCAAGATCTACTGTGATCAACACTGAATTGCCTGCTGTCACTGTTGATATTGGAAGCACAGTGAAAACAATCCAGAGAGCAAATGTTACCATTAGCTGCCAGGTTGCAGGTGAGAAATTACTCGGTCTCCCATGCACGTGCCTTCGGCTCTGAATTTCTCTGAGGTTATTTGCTAAATTGGTGTCTCCAGGTGCAGGTGAGTGAAACTGAAAGGATTCCCTAGGACTCAGGCAAGCTTCGTTGCTTCCATTGGTTCTTAGCATAGAAATTTTCCTCCTTTTATCAATACCAACAAGAAAAGTAAGGTGGCTTAAGAAAACCGGTCTGGGACAATACGATAGTCATCTTTGTTAGAAATACACTGTATGATGTGAATACAACAAAACTGATACACATTCCTACCAGTTGGGGAGGTTTGGTGAGAATATACAAGTATTGATTAACTCGTTTCCTCATTAAATGGTGTTTCAAAGTCCACTCTGGTTAGTTCCTTCTTTTCCTGCCAACCTCTGTCTTTTCAAATTAAGGGCATGTTAGGACACTCTTTTTTCTGATTTTTTCTTTTTTCATCTTGGGAGTGCAGGAATTCAAAGGAATTCTGCTGAAACAGGGTTTTCCCTGAAACTCTTTTCCAGCCGAAGACTGAATGGTCCTCAGTCTTACACCGGCAGTTTGACTCTTTCCAGTGGTGACCGAAAAAAGGTTGACCTTATCTGTGCGTTGCAGTCCTACGCTGTTGGTGGGAATGGTGTTGGTATGGGGAGGAGGGGTGAGGGAAGAGACACAGCTGTGAAATCTCTAAAGACTCAGGGCCAGGCTTTTGATTCATTAAACTCTCATGCATAGTATGAGGGGGAATGGGATGGGAAGGGAGAAGCTTATAAAACACAAAGTGAGCCATGCTGACTGTTACACAAATGTCTGCAGTGGAGACTTCTATGAAGTCCCTTAGACCCTTGCTTTAGTTTCTTGTCCCTAGCAGCTGCTTCAGATGACTAAATAAGCATCTGCACTGCAAATACACAAATGTCCTGCTTTTTTTAAGCTTCCTGCTCACTTTAAGCACTTAGTGATTGTCAGTTTTTCTTCTTCAAGTGCTGCCAACCACAACCCTATGCAAATTATTAGGTGAAAAGTATTTGGCTCAGGTTTCACTCTTTGGTCATGTCCTTTAGAAAAGCCTGCACAACATCTATGCAAACACTAGGCTGGGATTCCAGTTCATTAATTACTCTCAGTGGGATTAATGAAAGAAAAATACAGCATCATTTTTCCTAGTGGTTCATGAAGGAGTAAATTCAGTAATTCTATTACCTTCTCAACATAGAAATTAGGCACTCTCTTGCAATCAGGCTGATGTCCAGTCTTTCAAGAAAGAAGGAGATGAAAGTTGTCCTCTTTTTGCCCAGGCCCATGCATGGCCACCTGCACTGACAGTGTGTGAAAGAGACTAAGTATTATACTATCATAAATTATTTTGGATTTCGCTCTCTGTGTTCTCTCAGCTGCAGATGGGGAGGCCTTCCACAGGTGTAGACAGTGATTGCTGATTTAAGAAGTGCAGCCATTTCCCTAAAGAAATCATGAAAAGAACAGGATGTGGCTGAGCAAAGTTGCCACAGTTCTTATGGCATTAGAAAACTATGGGAGGGCAATCACCATCTTCTCTCCCACAAGAAGGCTTTTTGCTATCTAGTAACATTACTGTATATTGGATTCTTCTGCGATACAGAAGAAATTTCCTTAAATCGTACTTTTCTTCGTGGCTCTTTATCTTTTGCTACTGCCTCTGCAGAAAATGTCAACTATGTTTGACACCAGAGATGAATACTGTTTAAATTATGATAAAGTCACAAACCACAAGCTGTAATATTACACAGGGAATAAGAGAGTGATTAGTGAGGGCAGAAATATTTTATAGGCACTGGAATCCTATTTTCATACAAAAGCTGTTAATAATTCAACAGCCATTTAAAAAAAGCTACATATGGGAAGAGATCCAGGAACAGAGTGATTTCTCTCAGCTGTCTCACCTATGCCTGGAAAATACACCATCTCATAAAACCTGTTAAAGAACATGACAATAAATATAATTTTCCTTCTAATTTAAGCACTAATTTTTTTGGTTTAGCGTCAGAGGCTTGATTATTCAACCTTTTAATATATTTTTTATTATTCTGCTTCGAACTATCAGTTCCAAAGATAAAAGCAACATGTACCATTTCTTCAGTCAGCAAACGTGTCATATCCTAGTGATTTCCTCAGAGTAGATGAACTTTACAGCTATGTAGTTGGCCAAATTTTCTCAGAAGGCATTGACAGTGAAATGGCCATCAAATCATAGTAAGTTAATGTGCAATGGCTAATGCAATAACAGGTGATAATAAGAAAGAAACCAGTGTGAGAATGAAATGAACATAATTAGAAAGCAAACTAACATACCCAGAAATCACGTGGAGACTTACCTAGCTGAAAAAATTCTTCACACGGTTTTGTAAAGCCATAGTCTTTTTCCTTCTTGTTCTTTTCCTTTAGTCTTTTCAGGATGCCCTGAGCCAGCACAGCAACTGAGAGTTCTTCCAGATCAGAATTTTGTGCCTGTTAATCTCATCATTATAAGCTGCGTTGCTATCACTGTGCTGTATAGTCTGTAGTATAGGACCATGCCTGTATTAGATCTTGATGTGTTGGCTCATATAACGACACATATTTACTGAGAGTCAGTAGGACAGCAGAATAAATATTTATAAGAGAAATGCTAAGTATAAGGATCACTTAAGACATTTTCTAAAGCTGCTTTTGCTGCCAAGGGACAGAAGCATACACTTGCTGCTAACAGGTGTTGATAAGCCTGGAGAAGGTTTCTTAAAAACAAGAGATAATGAAAGAGAACATTACCCAAGTCTAGAGAGTAATTTTATATTGCTCTTCAGCTTCTTATGAAAGGCATAGAACTGTCAAAATCTGAGTTGAAATTTATAGATATTATCTGTAAGACAGGGGAAACCAAAATCATTCTGGATGCATTAGAGTTTAATTGCCTCCTGATAGGAATTATATCGGGCTGAAACTCTCTATTTTGGTTATACCACAAAGAGGGTGTTGTGGTTTTCTTCGAGCTTGAAACCCCGTTTTATTTCACTGGACATAACTTCACCATTTTGTCTACAGAGGTGAAAGAATTTTTTTAAAATACATTTAGGTGATTGTGGTCAATCCCAGACTTCTCCACAACTAATCGTAAGGGAACTCCCACCCAAAAGTGACTCAGGAGTCTTGCAGATGCATGTGACATCGAGCTGGAGAATTTACTACAAGTTTCAGAACACCAGCAGCATTTCTGCTGTGAGCAATTTGATTGCTATGGGCAACTTCACTTCCAAATGGAATGCAGGAGCAATTTGGATCACATCAGTATCACTAGGAAGCTTTCTGTTGACTTATATTGGGCAGATATTCATTCAGATACCAGAAGCCTCAATTAACCTGGCTCAAGCTGTTATTGAAAATATAGTTGGACTTGAAAGGAGGAACCAATTTAAAAAATCTAGTTCTTAGGGCATTTCTCCATTATATCCTTCAGGCCACAAGACTTCAGAGGCATCTGTCTGCAAAGTGTCACGTACCATTAGTCAAAGTTCAGTCAGAACACGTTTGGAACAGTGACTTAAAATACATTACCAGCCTGTCCTGGTTATCCTTGTCTCTCTCCTGCTTCAACTTGCATCTTTTTCAACTCTCCTAAACAGTCCTTTCCTCTGTATTTCACCTATAGGCTGGAGGTTATATTTTTCTAGTTCTTAACTTTCTTTACAACCCATATTTTTTCATCAGGTAAACCAGATTCTGACGTGCAAGTCACTACTTCAAGAATATTGTGGCACTGGAAACAAATCACCACTGCTAGATCCTTATATTGCTATGTTTCTTTTCCCCAAAAGTTTATGGTTTAGCAAAATTATCTTGATTGGCGTGCTGAGTTCTGCTTGCTACATATCCCAGATAGTCTTTTTGTGCAGGATACATGCATAGTGTTGGAGGGGAATCATGGAATCACATAGAACGGTCGGCGTTTGAAGGGACCTCTGGAGTTCATCTAGTCCAACCCCCCTGCTAAAGCAGGTTCACCCAGAGCAGGTTGCACAGGATCACATCCAGGCAGGTTTTGAATATCTCCAGGGAAGGAGACTCCATAACCTCCATGGGCAGCCTGTTCCAGTGCTCTGCCACCTTCAAAGGAAGGAAGTTTTTCCTCATGTTCAGGTGGAACTTCCTGTGCTCTGGTTTGTGCCTGTTGCCCCTTGTCCTGTCACTGGGCACCACTGAAAATAGTCTGGCTCCATCCTCTTGACACCCATCCTTTAGATATTTATAAGCATTAATAAGGTCCCCTCTCAGTCTTCTGTTCTCCAGGATAAACAGACATAGGTCGCTCAGACTTTCCTCAGAAGAGAGGTCCCCTAATCATCTTCACAGCCCTCTGCTTGACTCTCTCCAATAGTTCCCTGTCCCTCTTGAACTGGGGAGCCCAGAACTGGACACAGCACTCCAGATGTGGCCTCACCAGGGCAGAGGAGGAGGAGGATAATCTCCCTCAACCTGCTGGCCACACTCTTCTCCATACATCCTAGGACACCATTGGCCTTCTTGGCCACAAAGGCACATTGCTGGCTCATGGTCAGCTTGCTGCCAACCAGCACTCCCATTCCTTCTCTGCAGAGCTGCTCTCTAGCAGGTCAACCTCCAACCTGTACTGGTGCATGTGTTTATTCCTCCCCAAGTGCAGGACTCTACACTTGCCCTTATTGAACCTCGTTAGGTTCCTCTCTGCCCAGCTCTCCAGCCTGTCCGGGTCTTGCTGAATGGCAGCACAGCCTTCTGGTATATCAGCCACTCTTCCCAATTTTGTGTCATCAGCAAACTTGCTGAGGATGCCCTCTGTCCCTTCATCCAGGTCATTGATGAATATGTTGAATAAGACCGGACCCAGTACTGACCCCTGGGGTACTCCACTAGCCACAGGCCTCCAGCTGGACCGAGCACCGCTGATAACAACTGTCTGAGCTCTGTCCTTCAGCCAGTTTTTAATCCATCTCGCTGTCTACTCACCTATCCCACACTTCACAAGCTTACCTATGAGAATGTGCCAGAAAGGTGAAGAAGATTAGACTTGGGTAACTATTCAATACCTAAAGTCCTGCCTGCCCACCAAAGTGAGTTTTGTTTCTAGCTGGCACCTCACAGACTTTCAGTCTCTGTCATGGTTTCTGCAAGGCAAACACACTCAGCCATCTGTCCTCTGTCGTTCACCCTTACCCAACAAAACTGATTTAAATGCACTTGCTACCCCTTGTGGCAATGCCATGCAATGCTGTGTTTGCACATCCCTGTGCTGACTGCCTGCTGTTCCTGTCTTAGGTCTATATGTCACTAAAGGTGGAAGCACAAAGGAAAAGGAAGCTTCTGCTCACTGACACATACTGCTTATCTTCCCTAAACCAAACTGTAGGAACAGGGGTACAGGTTAGTTTCAAATAATCTCCTGTTGATGTGGAAACTTAATATTAAAGATAGAGGAAGAACACACTTTTTAGAGTAGCAGTCAGGAAAAGGCTTTTGTAAAGCTGTTGGATATTTTGTAGGTACAATGCTCCTTTCCTAGTTGCAACGGTAATACCTCAACAGTAAGGGGTCTTACCTTTAAACTGTTGTTGCTTCTTTTGCTAGTGAAGTGTATACAAGAGGATTCTGTCTTTCTGAACTAAGACTATCTGAGTAGCTGTCTGCAAGAAGCAAATTAGTTTTGTTTGTCTCTCTATACTTATTTAAATCCTTGCGCTTGAGGACTATGGTCATATGGAATCATCCTTGTCCCTTTCCCTTCTTCTTTACCCTTCTCAGCACTCGTCATTCCTTCCTCTTCTCCCACTTATCTTCCTTTATTTTCAAGAAAAACTTGAAAGCTCTCCCCAGTTTTAGTCTTCAAAAGAAAGAAGATGAACCCTGGTTGGAATTAGAGAAAGCTTTCTAATTTTGTAATCTTATGATTGTTTATTTCTGAGGTATGTTTCTTAATACTTCCATGCCTAAGTTCAGCAATAGACATAGTGTGAATACCTGTGCACTGTAAGTAACTTACACTGCAAGAGAGGGTGGATCATTCCTTCACTAGGGTGGCTTTGGGAGGACAAGTGCTGGGATGTGAGTGTTTTTCCCTCTCAAGGACTGCAGAACTGGAAGAGTCTCCATTTTCTCTCCTTTGATCTCCAAAGCTCACCTTTCAAACTTCCTTCACCAAAATGGAAACACAACAAACAAGCAGGCTTGAATAAATTCAAAGGTTGGGGTTGTTTGCTATCCAGTGGTTGTCTGAACTCCCCTAAGGACTTTGTCTGGATGCTCTGGAAAATATCAGAGTGAGGTTTTAAGTGGTGGTCAGCCCACCCATGCCACATAGGTCAAAAAGTAGCAGCCAGATGGAAAGCTGTTGTACAGGTCCTATGCCAGCAGAGGTGGTCAGAAACAGGCCAACAGCCCATCCTTTTGAAAAAGATGAGCTGTAGCGACACAAACAAGTGTAAACCTTTGGAAAACAGCATCATAGACAAGAACGATTAGTTCTCTGGGTATGCCATGAAGAGTCCACATTAGCATATGATATTTACCCTCAGACAAACGTGAGAAAAACTGCAGTCTTTTACAGCCTACTTCCTGCTACTTTCTGAATGTAGACAAGACCTATTGCCCTTATAGGGCTTCAGCTTTCCTTTCTGGCTGCCAGGCTTAGAAATACTGATTCCAAATGTCTTGGCAAAGTTACCAGGTGGCTCTGGGAGAGGTGGAAAATGGGCCACAATGCTTTGATGTGGAAGAATAAGGGAAAAATCTCCCTTTCCCACTTGCATCTGCACATGTTTAACAAGACACCTGCAATCAGGTGGCCACTACGAAAACAGAAAAATTGGTGGTCATGCCCAGTGAGCACATCCCAAGTGAGTTATTTCCAATGACAGGGCCACAGAATTGACAGAGTGGGTTTTGGTTTTTGACGTGGAGACACAACCAGAAAGCTGTGGGCAATAGGCAGAGGAACACGTTGCTGTGACATAAGGCAGGGAAGGATTAAGTTGGGCAGCAGACACTTAAGAATAACTGCCTGTACACATGCCTGTAATCTACAGTGGACACCAGAAACTGCATGTTCACATGAAAGAGATTAACTGCCTGCCACATACAGAGGGTACCATAAAAGGGAAAGTATGACCTCCAGCAGTTACCAGGACTAGTGATGTATTACTCCTTACAGCCATGGGTCCACACAGTATTATTTCCTCCCAGGCACAGCTCCAGAGGTCTATCCCATCTATTGAGACTTCCAATACCATTTCTTGTAAACCAATTGTTTAGTAGTAAGTGACACTAAGTTACCTGATCTGGTATGCATTTAAATCGAGGTAGCAATCCCTATGCCAAGGAAATACTATCTACTGCAAGGCCAGAGATCTTGCCAGCTACACATCAGAACCCATTCCTACAAAAGGGTACCCAAGAAAGATAGCTGGATCTTAGATCCAAGCACGCAAAAGGAGGCAAACCTTCCTATAGCGAGTTACGAATCTATGACAGTCTGTTGCCTGAAGACTTGTGGTGAGACCGGTGAAACTTCGTTTCTGAAGATGTAAATGCTAGTTGTTGCATAATTTCAAAATGGAAAAATTGGATTAATTAATGAAAGAGAAGTCCATGGAGGGCTCCTGACTCCACAGAAACTACTTCTGGCTCAGCAAGTTGCTGAGACGAAACTAGTGGGAGGCTGGGAGAGGCACCAGCTTATGGCTTCTTCCAGAGACTGGATATTAGGTTAGATTAACCTTTGTTCTGATCCAATAGAGGCTTGCTTTTAAAAGTGATCAGTTCAGAGTTCACTTGTTCAATTCTGGGACAATAAAAGGGAAGACTTCGATTCAGTTTTATTTCAACTCTTCTGCTCCGTCTCAAAAAGATGTAAGAAACATAAAGGCAGGCAATATAAAAGAGTTGACTAAATGCTTCTGAACTGCAAAAAATGTTACTTGGAAGTCATATTAAAATCGTGTTTTAATTGTTCTGTCTTAACAATTTTGTCTGTAGAAACCATAGCACTGTTTAGCAACCACTGTATCTTGCATGTGTTATGTTTTGTCAATGTTTTTCTAGGTGTTCCTGAAGCAGAAGTTACTTGGTTTAAGAACAAGGTCAAGCTGTCCTCTGCTCACCATCTTCATGATGGGTTGCTGCTGATTGCAAATGTTTCTTTGCCTGATCAGGGACTGTACTCCTGCAAGGCAGCCAATCTCCGTGGGGAGGTAACTGAAAGCTCCCAGCTGTTGGTTCTTGGTAAGTCCAGGGTATTTTGCACTTGTAGCAATAGTAATGTGGCTTCTGGCACATCTAGCCGACAGAATTAATCAGATGATGTGGAAGAAGAAAAGAATCTGGGAAGATAATCAGTCTACATTTGCTCTCTGGTCAGCATCACCTGAAAGAAGGTGGTGGTAAAGGGAAGATGGATAAGTCCCCCCAAGCACAGGGACTACACCTCCCAGTCCTGACATACTCAGTTTCCCCCTTTCAGACTTAACCAGCTAAGAAAAACATTTATTAACCATTTCTTAAAGTGGCTATCTTGAAATGAGAATGATGCCACTTTTTCCCTGTGAAGTGCTCTGCCTCTGCTGAGCAGCCTTTCCATACATGGCTGTGTGATACTGACCTGTTTCACACCTAACAGGTACATAAACCCAGTATGCTTTTAAAAAGCACTTCCCAAGTTAAGTGAAGGGCGAAGTTTACTTTTTCTTGGGTTTCTAAACAACAGATAGAAATCCCAGCTGGGTTATTCAAAAGGACAATGTCAGCTGTGAAGTATGGGTCAAGTGTTACCTGGTGGTAATTGGACGTGTGGGAAAGGGGTTTCCTTTCCTAGTAACTCATCTTTTGTCATTTCACCGTGCCTGGCATATGGATGACCCAGCCAGACTTTGTAAGTGCTTCTGTATATTTTATAGTGAAGTGTCAAATTTTGAAACCTAGTCCCTGTTATTGGTGCAGCACCATTAAAGCATCTGTTACAGCTCTCATCTTTCATGACTAAAATGAGCACAGGTCCCATGGATGATGCAGCTTCCAGAGGAAGTTTTAAAGTGAGTTTTCTCCATTTCACAGACAACACTAAAATGAATGTTCATATGGTTTCCTTGTGAATCCAGACTGCGTCTAGAAACTCAGCCTAAAAAAATCTGAAAAAAAAGCAAATCAGCTGGTTTTCAGTTATAAATAAAAACTCTCACATGATCTTTAAATCCTTTTGTGATCTTTATAAATGGCTTAGTTTTTAAAGACGGAAAGTTACTGTGAGTTATGCAAGCTGCTTATGTTTGTAGGCAAATGACATTTTTAGTTCCTTGATGGAAAGAAAGACTTCAAGCATCCACGACTCATACTTCTGATGGTGAATGTGATCAGCAATAGAAAACTTGCTTATTGTGTGCTGTGATCTAATTGAAAGGGGATGAAACAACCATTCACTTAAATCAAATACCCCATCATTTCCACAACAAACAGAATTAGGAATGATAGGCAATACAATCGATTTTTAAAATAGCATTATAGTTAGTAAAGAACTAAATCCTGCAGTTCTCAGCATAGACTTCTCCTCTTGAGCTTTGAACTCTTAGTCCTTTGGAGCTCTGCCTAAGTACACCACAGGATTTGGCAGGGTTATAGCCATATTTAATCAGGCTTGATCTAGGTTGTAGCAGACATTAAAAGGTTTTCCACTGACTGCCATGGACATTTGATTTGGCTTCTATGTTGTACAAATTTGCTCTTTCAACCAAGCTGCTGTATCTCCTGATAACATGTACTTTGGTCACATATGAAGAGGGTCATCCAGAATGCCATGGTGGCCTTCGGAGATAATTTCTTTTATTTTGTGGTAATACTGATCCAGATGTTATTTTAATAATTTCTTTAGTTCCTTACCTAAGATGAGACAAAGCACACCTTTAGTAGTTGCCCAAAGTTACTTAAACTGCCCCTTTGAAATAGTAATGTTCGGCACAGCAAATAATGCAGCAGTAGCTGATAGCGGTTCTTCTGATACCCCTGAGATGTTTTCTGCTATAGTGTTGGTCATCACTTCAGTCTCCCAATCTATTACCAGAGCCTCCACGACCTCTTCCTTACCTAGAAGACTTGGCAGCAGTGCTTTCCAATGCTGGGACCAACAATCATTCAGTGCTGACCTCTCCTTCAGGAACAAAAATGACCGTCAGTCCAGGGAGTTCTGCTTACATTGGTAAGTCAAGTGCTTTAAGATTTTTTTGTAGATCAAAAAGGGTTTAGAGTTTAGATTACAGTTATGCATCCAGTTTTCCATTACAGTTAAGCATTCAGTTATCCCGCCATGAAGCACTGGGACAAAAGACTTCAAACTGACAACTCATTGTCAGTCATAACCACTGCCAAATTGTTTTTAGAAGTCAGAAATTGATTTTAAAAAAAAAGAGAACCTTTTGTTAGTGTAATACCCCAAAGCTGCATGCAAAATAAGGGCTCCATTTTGCCACACTTTATAACACTCCGTAAGAAGCAGTCCCTGCTCTGAGGGGCCGGCATCAATGCAAGACATGGCAAACTGATGTGCTAGCTTATCTAAAAGAAGAAGCACTTGTGGTTCTGTTTTTCTTTTTCTTCTTCATTTGGGTACCAGACTTTCCGTACGTCTGCTATTCATGTTGTGTCCTTCTTCTTCAGAGCCTTTTCTAGAGTTTTGCCTGTCTCTCCAGACATATTTTTCTCTTGCAAGCTCTCTGTTTTATTCTATTAATTTTATTTCTCTTTGTTATATCACACAACCAACGTCTGCAGAAAGCAGAAATAACCCAAATGAAATGCTTTTCTTCTTTTCATCCTTTTCTGCCTTCCATGTAGCTTTCTCCTCTTTACACTGCTATATGGTGTAAACTCCTTTTATATCTGTGAGCATGATTTGTTTGCAAAGAGAAACTAATATTTTTCTAAAGTCCAAGGTATGTTTATTTTAAAATTTAATTTCTCGCTGATCTTGAGCCTCTACTAACTGTCAGGCTCAGACAGGCAAGCAGCTTCTCTAATGGCCTTGTTACTGCATACAGTGAAATTTTGTGATGCCCTGCAGTATCAGAGCAATCTTTTATCTTTTTAGAGGTAGGGATCTGAAACTTTTAGCAAAGGGTCTGTAGCTGGCCTGAGTGTTTATAGCTCTGGTATTCATACCTTCCAAAATATTTTTTGCTTACATTTAATAGCAATTTTAAGATTTTATTTTCACAGTGGGGGCTTTCTATTTATGTTTTTAGTTTTGTATGGTTTACTTTTCCCCAGTGATGACATCTGCATACTTTTGCAACGGCTTTTAGCATGCAGCTCTGGATTACATTTCTGCTTGCACAAAAACTGCACTGAAATAGTCCTTGATGGGAGGAATATCTGAAGGTATTTATTAGCATTGAATAAATCATTTTGAGTACGGTTTTACTGTACTTACACCCAGTTGTAAGACCAGGTCACTCTCCTGTTTCACCCATTTCCTCTCAGGTTTCCAAAAAGAGGTCTTTAGTAGTTTTAAGGATTTTTTTATTGTTTGAAAGCAGTAATTGAACCGCAAACGGTGTTCTGCACTGCCTGTATATAACTGCCTCTAAATTAGTTTCATTTGGCCATGTTGCCCTGTACCCTGCCATTCTGCTCCAGGAGCAATGAATTTCCATGAATCTTAATAGCAAAATAGCAAACCAGTTTCATTCTTGAGGCAATTCCCTCAACTTCACTGGAATTTTACTGACCTGAATTTGAGGCCTGTTATTGTTAAAACCTAAGGAAACCTCCTGAGAGTTTTTTCATTCCATCAGCATGGAATGGGCTATCCAATCAGTTAGAAAGCTACAGTCCAGTGTGCTGCATCACGTTGTATCACCAAAACAAATACACAAAGAATTCAGCTTCCATGTATGTTACTTAAATATGTTTTCTGTAGTTGTACCAAAGAATTTGGATTCACCTTCACTGCAAATAAACATTATTGGTCAGAAAAATAAAAGGACTTATCTCTCAGATTTTGGGGTTTTTTAATCTACATCTAGTTTACCTCGTACATTAATCTCAGTATAGACTACAATAAAAGACTCTATATTTACTCCCAAAATCAGTCTCCTCACAGTCTTCCAGTACAGTGCCTAAGTTTATCATGGACTACTGTGATACCTTTATAATCAAGATTTGTCTGAAATATTGCTGCACTGGAAAGAAAATCTGTACATGTTTCTAAGCACCAGCTTCAAACACCAATTTAGGAGCAACTTGTGAACTTGTGACCCATGTCTGTGTCCTCTGCCTACAGCACCCCTACAAGCTGTCCCCTAATTCTTTCTATTCTGCCACCCAGCCAATTGACTTTAATCCTGTTAAGTCTTTCATCATTGATTATGTTGAGGTGTTTGCTCTGCATGCTCTGGATACCCCATATAAGAACTTTGGGTATATAGATTACTATGTATGGGGTCCCTTGTCTGTGCTACTGCTGACAGGCACCGATATCTCTCAGTACTCAGAAGGCATTAAATTAGACCTGATATTTGGAAATCTAAGGATATAAGGATTTGTTGAGTAAAGAAGAAAAATAGGAAATGTGCAAAGGAACAGAGTGAAGCACGAAGAAAAGAAGTGATAAGTAAGCTTTGGGGAAATTTTATATTTTAAAGGAGTTAAAACACTCCAAAGGCGAAAAATTATGTGAGAAACCTGGATAAATTCAGGAATGGGTTCACCAGGATTTAAGAAAAATGGGAATCAAAACCTTTTTAAACACTGGTTTTGAACCTTGAGGAAAAAAAAAAAAAAAAAAAAAAAAAAAAAAAAAACCAACAAACCATAAACCAGAAAATATTAACACAGCAACAGAAGATTAAAGTTGCAAAATGAGAACTTGTTTGGAAATTAGCAGCTGTGTGAAATATGACAAGAATTGACAAGCTGAGTTGAAAGGAGAGAACTGGAGCCTCCAGATTATCATACCTGCTATGTATTTTCTGTTACAATTCTTCTACCATCATTTCAACCATTTGAAATTACGAACTTGCTCTCTGGAGTCAGCTCCTATGGGTTTCTTCTACATAAATTTCAGGGGCTTTGCAGAAGGTAAAGTCAGGGCCATAACACAAATATCTGGTTTGGAGGTCTTTCTTCTCTTTGTTAAGGGTCATTCAGCAGTCATTTGTGCTCCTTCATTGTAGAAACAGGAAAAGACCTGTTAAATACCTATGCCCTGCCCAATGGAGTCAGTAACCATCCCATTAAGATCTAATGTAAAACACCTTTTTGCATGAGGTTACAGGAATATTTTTGTCATATATACTTTCTTACTTTTACTTCTAACAGGTTGAGATTTCAGTTACCTTTCTAGACCCAACTCACCATCTGGTTAGAGAGCATGATGTAGACAGTGGCTTAGGTTGATGCTTACTCTACTCCTTTACAACTGCTGGAAGTGTGTGTAGAGTACTGCAATCCTCCCCAGTCCTCATATCAGTTGGCAGATTGTGCAGTAAACACTTCTGTGTTATCTGCAGATCACATGTCTGAAGGATGTGACTTCTCTCAAAGCAGAAGCCAGAGCACCCATGAGCTTGGAAATACTTCTGGGTTTTACAGTAGAACAAACCGACAATCAGTGATGAGCAAGAGTGTCATGCACTTTCCGATGTCCTTGATTCATAGCAGGCACACAAGACTTTATATCACACGTAACATAGAACATAATAAATTTCTGAAGTGACACCAATTTATATTTCTTTGGAAAGCTTTCACGTTAGATCTTAATCTTAATAAGGTTTCTTCTTTAATTCTGAATACAGTTTTCCTGAATGTTGGTAATGAAAGTATTATAAGAAACTCTGCCCTTTTCCTCAGAAAGAAATTATGTTGTTTGTCACCTGGTAAGAACTTTTGGTTTTTAACAATATTCGTGACCATTTGACTTCCATAAGTCCTGATTACTTTGTGGAATTATCTTTTTAAATTAAAGGAAAATCCTAAGTTCATGTATTTTCAATAGAGTTTCTTTATCTATGCTACAAGTATCACTGAATTTTTTTACACAACTCCCTGGACACATTTCCATGGGCCTTGAGCTTTGTAAATTTTAATTTTGGCAAAACTGAAGCTGTGGGACCCGGTGTTCCTGACTTCTAATACTCCTGCAGCAAAGACTTTGGGTCTATCAAGAATGCTTGTTTTCATTTGGGTTCAAGATTGTTGTTTCTGTATTTGAAGACATTGCAGTGAGAAAGTCTGAGGATCTTGCAAATCCTGGTGGATTTTATCTACACTTGTATCACTACAATTTTTCAAACTTATTTGTAACCTTATTGTAAACCTCAGCAGACTTGTCAAAAGATACAAAATATGACATACGAATGTCTTCTTATCGTAGCACAAAAGAATACTATTTATTGCTGTTATGTGGCACAGTGAAAGCTGAAGCTTTAGTGACTTTGACTTATATATGTAAACTATATTTAAGTGAGGATTCTTGCAGGAACATTTGAAGAAAGGTCAGAAATGAATACTTCTAGGAATATAGAAGTGTAAGAGTAACTATAAAACGACACAATGAAAGAAAAAACGTTGAAGGAGAATGTACTTTGCTTGTAACAGCACAGTGTTTCTTGGCATCTGTTTTGTTTAATATTTCATTGCAGATGAGCTCTTCAAGTTGCACAGAAAATGTCTGTGAACACATTTGATAGATTTGTTTTTTTTTGCCAAAGCTTCAGGTTCATGTCCCATATGTTTTTTTCAGAAACTTTATCATGTGTGATAATTTCTGAAAACATGGTGTGCACTTGAGCATACGCGTATCGAAGAAAGGAAGATTGCTGCATTGCACATTGTATATAATTACATAAAGGTTTTGGGCTGCATTTATGAGGCAGCCAAATGAAGGGATGCATCTTTGTTTTGGATCATAGTACAGGCTCATGAATTTAAAGAAAAATGGGAGTGTAAACAGTTAAGATAGCTAGGATCTGAAATGAACAGAAAATTGCTCTTACCTGGCACAGTGCAAGACTTGAGCAACGTCTTTAAAAAAAAGAAGACATCCAAGAAAAATTAAATATTGAGATAATGGTAGCTGTTGTGTGTAGCTGCAATGTATATTTTTAAGGCTCACTGTATCCTGATGAAGTGTTCACATTTTGGAAAAAAAAAAAATAGTAGCAATTATTTTGATCGAAAGAGGAGATGCCATCTTTATTT